GAACACTAACTAATCACCGTAGCCTCATTGCACACAGATGACTATTGATGGGTATCCACTCTATCATAGAGGCTTCGGCTTTATCGTTTAGTACGATACCTACACCACGCTGACCCAGTGGGCGGGCTGCGTCGTCTCCTGATGTGCACAGGAAATACTTCGAGGACAGACCCGGCGCACTCAGGTGGCTTACAATACTAGGATCCTGAATCCGTGTCTCCGATACGCAACAGATATCGATTTCTAGAGACTGCATTGTACGCGCAAGACACGTCTGTTGACCCACCTGCAGAAGAGTCCTCACGTTGAAAACTCCCAGATTGAGAGGTTGACGAGGCTTCAGAATCTGCACTTTATTTACAGGAAAACTAGTACAGTGCTATTTGGCAAAAACCTTTGGCGAGTGACGACCAAGTTGTCTGAGGGAATATCGCGGGTCGGAAGAAGGAGTAATGGGATAGGGTTGGGTATGGAAGACAAAGAGTTATTTGAAGGTTGGGATATCTGAGCAGTAGCCCACTTATCCCTACCCACCCCGCTCGATGCAATGGGCAGCGCGGTCCTGATTATCTTGCGCGACGACCGATGCATTATGAAATTAATTTTTGTTTGTGTTCATAGGTACTTTTCATATCAAGGGTACTGTATACGGCATAGCGTGAGATGACTTCCATCTTTGTATCGATGCGGGGTAGTGGGTATGCATCTAGTTGAGGGAAGCTATGGCCGTTTCATGTGATTGGCGTTTTTGGTAACAAGGACCTGAGCCCTCCATGTGGAGTAAGAAGGTTCAATGATACCATCACTTGGAAGACGTTACACTTCCAACTTAATGAACTGTACATCTTCAGCTGAATGTCTTCTGGATTTGGTAGCGATTGTTTTACAGTCAGGAGACGGGTGGGCGATTGAGGGAGGTGATTCAACTTTGGCGGTGGTAGTGGCATGGGACAAACAAGTGAGAGCGACGGCAGTGAAGGTGGAGAACAATAAGGGATCAAAGGCAGATGTGATCGATGGATGAATTGTTTTCGATTTACACACGCTTAAGGTATCCTGTTTTCCACAGGCTTTACAGACGGCCTCCCTAGAGGGACACTTGGTACGAGGGTTCTTTGAATAGCCCCCAAAACAGTATGCCTCTTTAGAAGCCGCTGATAGAACGGGTTCAGGGTCGGCGACGAAAGTAGTGGGAGGAAGCGGATTAGTCGACGCACATGAAAGGCTCTGATTCGTACGACCGCGACTGCTTTTGGGCGATTTCAAGGGACCTTGCCATATCGTATGCCTACTGGAGGGTTAGGGATGGTTGTTCCAGCAGTCTCGTACTAATGGCATGAGACTGGAGCCCCTTTATGAATTCGTCGCGCATAGCATCGTCGCAGTATTCTTCGGTTGAGATGGACCGAAAATTACAGTCTTTACCGAGCGTTTTGATGTTTATGTTCTGCCCAGTGTCTTGTTTATAAGTAGAAAGTAGGTACCGCGCGCAAACACAACGTTTTGGGGGCGAGCGCACAGCGTTACTAGTAAGGAGATAGCGTTTTCAAATGTCTTGCAGTCAGAGGGTTTTTATCATTACACACCTAAGTGTGTTAAACAGCAGACGGAGTGGAACCCCATAGTCACGGGGACCTGTGATGGTAACCGGCAACTTAAGCCCCGGGACTCGGAGTGGCGAACCACATAAGGCCCCGATAGGTTAGGCGTGCTATTGAACCGGACGACAACAAAGCTGTCTACCACCAAAGTCGGGTGGCGGTGGCAGGGTTCGAATCTCGGACCATAGGGTCCAAAGCATGCCGGTGACAGCGACTAAACCACTGCGCCACCGCTACCATCTGCGATGTTAACACCTTGAATATAAATACTTTTTGTTCGTTTGTCTCTAAGTCCCAGTTGTGCAAATGTATTACCATCCAATAATTTTTTTGCATCTAGTTAGACTGACGTGCCACACTTTCGGTCATTTTTCTCATTCAGCTCTGAAAAACCTACCTCGTGTGCCAAGTGTAGCGAAAGCGTTCAAACTTTCTTGGAAACAATGAACTTGGAGTTACTAGGTGGGTTTATCGACGTGAATTTTGATGGTCCTGTTTTTAGAGGCCTTTCACCAGAACTATCCGGAGGTAAGTTTCTGTCCTCTTTGTTATTTCACTTGCGCAGGCTGCCGATGGTCATCTGGAACGTATAAAAAAAGATGACGGAAAAGATGGGGGTTGTGCGACTTATGTAATCACCCTCCAGTTCAATCGTATTGGCAGCCTACTTGCCATTGGCTGTAATGACGGTCGAGTGGAGATCTGGGATTATGTAACAAGACGTATAGCAAAGATACTTGTGGCTCACACACACCCCGTCTGTTGTCTGAGGTGAATAATCTCGAGATCAAATCTCTTATCCGCTTTGTCATTAAATTGTAGTTGGAGTCGTGATAGCCGAAAACTTCTGACAGCCTCCACCGATAACACTGTATCTATTTGGAATATTGTGACCGGCAATTGCGAAAGGACGTTTCGTTTTCCATGCCCTGTTCTACGGGCGCAGTTTAATGCACGCAAAGCGGATCAGTTTATGGTGTGTCCGATGCGTCACCCACCGGTTGTTATACACATATCTTCAGGTGCACCAACAATCATTCAGCCGGATGATGAGGTAAGTCCGATATATCGGTGTTACTTATATAATTGAACGGCTTCGGGGGTGAAGTGGTACTATGAGGATCTAACTTTAAAAACGCACAGTCTTTATTGCACCAAGAACAGCTCTTAAAACGTCGTACAGTGTCCGGAGCCATTGTGTAAGTTGTTCGGAGCCAATGAAATTGCACACCAAAAAGTAATGTTTCGCTCCAACAGGGATGTAAGACCAAGCAAAGAGCATCATCAACATACTCACAAATGTTGCATTTTTGTCCTAACTCATACTCAAATGAAGAACGTAAGGGTTCGATTTCCTTGGATCTTAACATAATCCTGAAGTTTTAAGCGGTTAGGGCGTTCTAATCGTTTCTGAGTAACCACTTGGTGCTTCTTCTACAGAGCATTATAAAGAAACATCATACCTGAAATCCACCCAGAAACTTTTACAAATTAATGAGATTAGCCTATTGGATCCAAAGGCACCAAAAACTAAATGATTTATTGCTTTCAATAAGTGTAATAATGTAAACTTTCTAAGTGCTGCGCTGCCTAAACGTATACAAACCATCCAGTCCGCACGGTGTTCCATCGATCGTCCCTAAAATATCTATGCCTAAGTTAGCGCTTGCTTCGCCTATCCTTTTCTGTTTTTTTCTTCAACGCTATATTTTTTCGACTCCTTGAAAAATCATGATTTTCCCGCACATTTAACCTGAAAGTATTTGAAAGCATCACCTTCGATCCACCGCGCGCGTTCCGTGGACGTGTAGGACCACTGAGCGACGACCAGTATGGTTTTGAGCAGCGTCGTTCTACCGGTGACTGTCTTCTCTCATTCTTTGTCAACTGCACCCGATAACCACGAAGAAACTAATTTAGTCTCGCTTGACACCTCAAAAGCCTTCGACCG